TTTTTAATCGAGAAACACGTTCGTTCTAATTCCAGAATGCTTTATCCAGCGATATCGGACAACAAAAATAAAAATAAAAATTAAAAACGTACTGGACTAAAAAGAAAAAAAGTATTCCTTCGAAACGATTGACCGTTCTCGCGTCGGCCGCGATGCAATAAGGATAAATGCAGAAGTAAAAGAAAATACTTGCTACTAATCACTTGTTGAATGTAAGTGAAATTCGTAAATGTAATTATAATCGACTGTTGTGTGCGCGTACACAAACAAGCGAGAAACAAAGCGGATACCGAATTAATAAATAATTAAATAAAATATTACGTGGCCACGATTATATCGATATATACATATACATACATTCATTATATATACGTACATATATATATATATATATATATATATATTGTATACATACGCCGATCGCACAAGTTTTTTTTTTCTTTTATTGTACGTACAATGTACCAGGCATGTGAATATGTACATGTAAAAATAAGCGGTGCAAGTAATTATTATTTGTAAATACAATAATAGCAGATACAGATATAAAGCAATCGATAATTTGACAAACACTGATTCAAAACGTGTGCGTTTGGTTTATGAATGGTACTATTCGCTACATAATACCCCCATAAACGTGTTTTACGTTGGCGATTTTGTAAATTGCATAACGCCGCTTAAAAAAAAATGTATCGTGCATTTAAGTCTTTTTTGATAGTGATTGCGACCATTTTTCTTATTTTAAGATAAAGAAAAAAAAACTTTATTTTTCTTTCTTATCCTCCTCGATGTTGCAACAAAATCAAAAAACGGCCCGCTCGCATTTTATACAAAACGAACCATCACTCCCCTATCCCTCCCCCCCCTCCTCTTCTTTCCTCGCGATACGATCCCCCCCTCGCCGCCCCCGTGCAAGTCGGAAATTGTCGATGAATACGATGTAACACGTCGTCCACGAAGCGCATTAGTTCCCTTTGTGGACCGCGTTGTTGAGAGTATTGCCTTAAGAAAGCGAAAGTCAAGGTAGACGGAGTGTGCATGGTTGAAATCGTGGTAACGAGAGATTTGCAACATTTGGTTGGTTGCGATTATTATCGTTGGTAAATGAATTGGAATTCGATTCGCGAAAACGATAGCACTATCATAGGGCTATTTAATTGATTCCAAAGAATCTAATTGGTGGAGAAATTAAAAATTCGAAATTATGGATTCGTTACACGTTACTAACTAAGCCACGGAACGTCTGCTCGTAGATAAATACGCGTTTTATGCTATCATGCTCGCGTTTATGTTAAGAATACAGAGTCATTTATTGTGATCGTCTTATCGTTATACTGTTACTCGATAAAAAATTGTCTTTACACAGTCAGATTTTATTAAAGCGAAAGATGTAGTTATAGTATACTATTATTATCATCATTATTATTGTTATTATTATTATTATTATTATTATTATTATAATATTATCATTGCTATCTTCTTCATTCTCATCCTCGTCGTCATATTGTCATCATCGTCTTCATTCTCATCATCGTTATTAATATTTTAATCATTTATTATTGTGATTAGCGATTACCGTTGTAATCATTGTTAAAAGCTATTTTCGGAAGAAATTAGATTCGTCGATCTAATCTAGAGCGATCTATTTATTTAAATGACTACGATCAACGCATATTGAAAACATTGTAAACGCTATATTCGAATATTGTGGTTGTCGTTTCGAATAATAGAGATATTCGTCTTTCATACATCGTAGTTATTTATAAAGAAATATTTTATCATCAAAAAACAAAAAAAGAGAAAAAAAAGCTTCACGTTTCACTTCTATGAACATCGAGCCAGAAACTTGGATCGTGGACTTGGCGCATAATTCTAAGATGATTTAATGAGAAACGAAGTTTTCAGAAGTCTTGATGCAAGGCGAAGGTCGACTCGTGAATGACATATACACATCTATGTATACACATGCATAGAGACTGAATAATCGTTCTCAAAGTTATCGGAATTAGTAAATCGATGACGCATGTACAAATGCATGGAAAGTCAATAAGTTCAATCGTTTGAGATTACGATTATCGTGGAAATAAATACCGATGCATTTTCTTACGTATACAGAGATGTAAAGATGTGCTATTTTTTTTTCATCAAATTGTTTTCATCGCAAAAGCGAAAAAAAGGGGAAAAGCATCATTCGAATCGAGTACGCGTATTCGTTTTAATTTATTTCAAATAACAATAATATACGTTATTTTCATCGGTTTTTCATTTTTAATGTGTTTAAAAGTAAATGTAGAATTAATCACTTGCGTCGTTGCACGATTATTGTGATATAACTCGTGACGTTCTTTGAATATTTTCAATGATCACCCTTGCATATGTAATGGATATTCAACCGTTCATGGTTAACAAGCATTTCGTTAGAATGGACGCGTAAACGTAATATGATCTTGTTGAAAACACGATCTTTGGAGGTGAACCGTTACCACGTCTCTATCTTTCCACCCAGCCGTTCGAATAGCCAATAAAAAATGTTCCATTGTCTTCTATTTAAAACATCTTGACTATTTTGCATTATATTCCAAACGTTTTCCGATTGTGGCTCGTGCCTGCCTATATATTTTTCGTTGATTTTTCATACTTGGCCAAAAATCGAGATCACTTCAATAGAATTATTAAAATCATGATCTTATATTGGTAAATCGTTCATTATCTTCGTAATCTTTCGTTCGTTCAATTGAATCGAATTACGATTCAACGTGAGATCAATTTGACTCAAAGAAGTACCGAATGAAAAATATGAAAGAGAAAGAAGTTACTTGTTGCCTCGGGCGCGGCAACTATTCCACTCGTTAAATCAAGAAATAGAAAGAGCTGTGGTTTCTCGCCATGTATATTGTATCGGAATGATTTGTATGAAAATATATATGTACGATGATTGATCGTCGATGTTGTCCGAAGTTTAATTTTTTTCTAGTCGTCCTCATATTCATTCGCTAGGATCCAAAACTTTTAAGAAAAGGGAACGGTCATTTGATACAAAGCATAATGCTAAATTACGGAAGACACTTCCGGATGAAGATGGACAATAGATGGAAGCGATAAAATCGAATTTGGAAACTGGCGAACGTTTTCTATTGGAGTTACGATTATTTGAAAATTTATCGGAAATTGTGTAAAATGAGAACTAACTTCACCTTGTCGATCACACGACGAATCATTTAATTGCTCGTGCATAAATATGTTTACGTAATAATGGATGAGAACTGGAAATTTAAGAGAGAAAGAGGCAGAGAAGAATTTTACCAACTCGTAAATAAGTACGTCCCCCCTTACTTCTTAAAAAAAAAAAAAAAGAAAAGACCCGTATTTTCTCCCTAATCCTAATGAATTCGTTGTTGCGTGTATCTTAGAAATATGTTTAGCTGAAGACTTAAGAAAGATTACTATTGATGCAGGCGCATCAAGTAAGAATAAAAGAAGAAAGTGTTGAAGAGTAACGTTCGAATAAGCGCTAATTATGCGAGTGAATGGATAATAACGCGTATAAAGAAAAGAAGAAAAAAAAACAAATATAGAGAAAAATATGAAACAAAAAATATGCGTGATGTAAATGAATAAAAACACGAGAAATTCGTTAGGAAATGAAATTAAATGTTGTCTGCCCCATGATTACTCCTGGTATTAAAAAGTTGTGCTCTTGCGAGAACGAGCACGAAGACTTTTTTTAAATACTTAGACTAACGAGTATTCACGAGTATAACTGCACAATAAAAAAAAGTAAAATAAAAAATATAAGCCAACACACATTGCGTACAATGCAATCAAACGAAAAGATATGGTTACTATATAAAATACACGAACAAGTATTGATCGCCTGAGTCGTTTAGTTGTCGAAGCTATTTAAGTAAGGATCGTGGGGTGGACATGTAGTATATATGATATGCAAATATATATAAATAAATAAATAAATATATATGTATATTTATATGTATATTATATAAATATATATGTATATGATATAAATATAATTCATTGAATTAAAACGATTGAATGACTGCGTGAATGATAGCCGATGCATTAAATATGCATAAAAATTAAAAGGAAGAGTGATTCGTACGATTATAAATGTGTTTTTAAATTACAAAAAGATAAAATAAATATTTCATTCTCATTCTGTGATGACTGTCTGAATATGAAAAGAAAAGAAGAAATGTTTTCATGAATCTATGCTGATTAATTAATTAATTAAATTATTATAGCGAATAAACAATTCGACTCGTATTGTACTAATTGTGCAAAAGAAATAAAATGAAATCACCTACAAGTGTGAAAATATGTGCGCCTCATTCGCTTGTGTGGATGAGAGACGCGTTATATTCGTATAGCGTGTGTTACATATGAATCATATACACTATTTAAACAAAAAAGGGAGAACACGTACGCTATATCTGAATGCAGAGAACAAACAGTATGATTTGTATACTGTATAACTTTAGTCGTTTATTATTGATTTCGAGAAATGTGTATAAATTATTATGTGTAATTAAACAAAGATCATTTAGTAAATTCTAAGAGTATATAATATATAATATATATAATATATATATATATATATTATATATATTATACAAAAAATTGAATCACACATGCGCGCGTGCGCGCACATGCACATATACAAATAAAAACATACCAAGATATTGTGAAAATTACAAAATCAACAATACTGCAAGGCCATTGTATTATACATTTGTGTAACTAAAATAGCGATGGTACAATTATGAAGATTATAAAAACAATAAACACTTACCGTATGTCTTATATACACATATACTATCTAAATGCTATCTAAATCATGTTTTTTTTTTTTTAGAGATAATATATCAAAAATACTTCATTCATAATTAATTATGAAGTAAATGTTGAGACACATTGTTACGTGAAGTAATATGTTATATTAATTGTAACAAATTTATATATTACACTTGGAAGTATACTATATTTATAAATATTAAGAGACTATTCAAACACTAGTATAATATATTAAAGCATAATATATGAAGATAGGATTAAATTAAATTAGAACATAGTAAGTAAGTTTCTCATATAATCATGTGTAAATCATTTTAATTCGCCGTTTTCACCAAATGTCTTTTTAGATACCAAATTTGTGCTTTAGATTCCAAAGAGGATAATTGGGACACATAAGGCGCCATTTGCTGAACATGATTTTGATAATTGGAACCTAAAAATTTATAAATATTAAGATATAATTTATAATATTAGCATAAAATTTACATACCCATTGTCGCTCTTTTTTCTCCATATATAACTTTTCCATCGAAATCATTCATTGGAACTTTCATATCTGGATCAACTTGTTGAATTGTGATATTTAAATGATCTTCAATTTCAGCCAAGTACTGGAAAAAATTGACTCCAATAATTGAAAGTCAAAGAAAAAGTAAACAAGTCGTATTATGTTAAAACTTACATTCGGTTCATTGTACCAAATGCAACAACCACCCTTGTCAGTAAGATTAGTATTGTAACAATTTCGTCCACGAGAAGAACACCATTCACCGTGATACCATACTTTTTCAGGAACTTTACTAACTAACGAAATGGCTAGACCCATTCGTTCAGCTCTACCAACTCTACCTATACGATGTACATAGTTTGATTTTTCATCAGGTAGAGTTATGTTAATCACTAGAAAAATAATTATACAAATAATAAAATTATAAAATTACATAAAAATTTATTAAATATACTGACTGAAAGGCAATCCTGAAATATCTAATCCTCTAGCTGCAACATCTGTACATATCAAAAATTTCACTTCTTGTCTTTTGAATTTCTCTAAATTAGATTTACGTTCTGCAGGCTTTCGGTCGCCATGCAAACATACGCATGAAAATTGGTTTCCACCAGATTGTTTCAAATATCGTTCCAAATTATCGCAATCTAATTTAGTTCTGCAGAATATAATGGCTCTGTCCATATTATGCTCCTTGATGGCACGAATACAGTATTCACCTTTTAATATTTTTACAGCCTCTGAAAGTGTTTCTATAAAACATATTTAACGTGTTATTAGATTTATGAAATTATCATAAGTTATGCGGAATTATTTAATTTGAAACGCACCAGGATTGTTATTTCCGGGTCTTATATTATCTCTACTATGGACACCATCAGTTTCTATACATTTTCGTAAATTATGCCAAGATTTATCTTTTTGTGGATCTACTATTACAACAACATGATGCACTGTTTCGGGAACTGCATCTTCACCTTTCAAGTCTACCCATGTTGGAAAATGCATCAAACGTTCCTATGCAAATATATGCAAAATAAAACATTTGTTATACATTTTTTTTAAAACTTATATAACATTACAAATTACAATTTAAATATTTACCGCCATCTTTTTTACTTCAAAAGCATGTAGAGTTGCAGAACAAACAATCATCTGCAATCTTTTTCCATCTGATGTAATTTTTGGTATCTGTCTGTGCAAACGATCGATTAATTCCGTATAACCTTGTTTCAATAGACCATCAGCTTCATCTAAAATAAAGAATCTGAAAAAAAATTATACAATAATTATTACTATATTTGATAAATGTATTATACAAAAAATATATTATATAATACCTGCAATGTGTTAAAGACAAATAGCCACCTTGTATTAAATCTTCTAGACGTCCTGGTGTTCCAACTATTATATCTACACCTGAATTTAATACAGAAATTTGCTCTTTTACACTAACTCCGCCAATAACTAACAATTCTCTAATAACTGGATCTTTCAAATATTTTTTAAACTGTAGAAATATATGCATTTTATAAATTATAATATTTTAAAAAGATAAATTTTTAACATTATAATTATTAATATCTTACTTTTTGTATTTGATTGTAGGTTTGTTCTGCAAGTTCTCTTGAAGGTTCCATAATTATAGCTTGAGGAGCATTACATTTAGGTTTGCCATTTTCTTTGCTTTGAGTTTGGTTACTATTTATAGAATTCTCTCTTATAGCTTCTTTAGGTGCCGAAGCAACAGCTATATAATCATTTGGAGGAGGATATTTAAATGGTTGTGCTCCAAAATTGAATGACATTTCTGCATTTTTTAATACTACAGCTGGATAAAAAGTCTGTGACTTTTGTTGTGCGTTTAATGTAAATGCTGGGCCTAAATCTGCTCCATTTAATGTGAAACTAATTTCACCTTTTGATAAGTTCAGAAGACATCCAATTACATCATGCATTCCAAAAGATTTTCCATAATTATCAAACTGTTTTGCATTTGATTTTTTACCAGTTCCACCATAACCAAAACCAAATTTATCTGTTCCTAAATCTAGTGAAGCCTATAATTATAAATATAATAATAATTATAATATATTTTATCAATAATTTTTTAAAAACTAATAAAATATTAAAATAATTACTTGAGATGTAGACCAGCCTACACGACATAATCCTTCATCAGTTACTATAGCTTCAAAAAAATATTTATTTTTTCCTTGAATTCCTTTGTTTGCTCTACAACCATGCCATTCTTTCTGTTCACGACTTTGACATCTTAAACCATCAGGAGTTACAGCTAATGCTCTACCTCTATCAAATAAACTTAATGCCCAATGTGCAGCTGTAAATGTTATTGTTGAATAAAAAAGCACAAAACAATTTGTAGCAAATATCAAAAGAAACATACAAGGTTGATGATGGCCACTAGAACTACTGCTCATTTTACCAGACTCAAAATCTTTTAGAGTTTCCCATACAATTTGCAAAACTGGTAAACAAAATGCACCAGTTTTTCCACTACCAGTTTCTGCAGCCATTAATACATCTCCACCACCCAAAATTAATGGAACTGCTTCAGCTTGGACATCAGTTGGTAATCTGCATAAATATATAATATTTAATATTTTTTTTTATATACATAATTTTATTTTACTTACGTCCATTCCATTTCATCAACTGCCTTTCCAATTTCAGGCAAGACACCCATTTCTGAAATAAAATTTTAATAATATTTAAAAATTTTTAAACAAGTCTTATTAAAGATAATAATTTTAATTATAATTTTTTTGATAATATTATTATATATTAAAAAGATATACATTAGAAAATATTTACCTTCAAATGCTGTCATTTTTCTAGTTTTAATTTATGTCTTTTATATAGATTAAATTTAAAGATATGCCATTAAAGAGAGTATTACACCGGTACTTTTGTACAAAATGATCAGATGTGTCTAGAGATATCTAGATATTCGATGCAAATGCCATCTATATGTATTCATGCATGAATCATGGAACACATGAATATAGTATAGAACATTCTCACATTTTGCATGTTACTTACTATTTTTTAATTTCCTTTACTAAATTAAAAATTACTTTGAAGTTTCAAACATTAATGTTAAATAAAATTCATTCTAGTAATTATTTATAAATTATATAAAATATTTTAGAATAAATATATTATTTTTTTACTTGTTTTTAAATTAGCCTTAAAGTCATATTACTTCTGCGCAGAACTACGATATAATAATATGTGTATTAATATGTTGTGGAGTTGTTGTGGATCAAAGTATAAAATGGAAGATTTGTTGTTTTAAACAAGTTTATTGTAAATAATTCCTCCATATATGTCCAAGAGGAATATAGATATTATTGCAGAAATGATTTTAAATATCGTTTACTGCTTACTTAAAAGATAGCACTGTAGAAATGACTCCAAAATGGAAGGTATGTACATTTTTTACAGGTTATATGTTCATTTTATTTTTTGGTTTATATTATATATAAATGTAAATTAATAAATATAATATTATTATTAATGATAGACCACTAGTTCAGAATCTACCACAACAACTAGTTCTGGTTCTTCATCGAGTAGTTCTTCAAGTTCAGGCAGTGAATCTAGTTCATCTGATTCTGAAAATTCTAGCAGTTCTGCTAATAGTCAAAAAGTATCTGATACAGAAAGAACAAAAAAGAAAACAACATTCCCTCCCAACAGACATAGTAAATCTAAAGTTGACACAGCTGTTGCTCCTTCTGTAGAAAATAAGAACAAAGATAGAATACCACCAAAGAATAGATCTGTGGTATATTCTTCAGAATCAGAAGGATCACCAAGTAAAGTAAAAACAGCAACAAAAAGAAAACCACCTACTAAACCAAAAGCAACTGCTACAGTAGCACCTGTTGTTAAACAACAAAGGCCACCTGCTAAATCAGTGGCTACTACTGGTCAACAAAAGAATTTAGCAAATCCTAGAACAATTGCTAATAAACCCAATAAACCTTGTGGTAAGAATATATTTATTTAAAACAAATTTTATTTAGAGCAAATCATTATTCATTTGTTAATTGATAATATATTTTTTTAAAAGTCTCGACAAATGCTAATGGAAAAGGTCCTGAGAAATCTATAAAAACGATTTCTGAACCTGTACAAAAAAAGTTAAAAAAGAAGAGTATATTCAGTCCTGAAAATAGTAGTGAAAGTGACAGTGGTATTCCAACAAAAACTAATTCGGTAAAGCCTATAAATAGTTCTACGAAATACACAAAAAATCAACAATCTAAACCAAAACCAAACGATGCAAAACAAAAAGCAGTTGCTCCAAATAGATCTAGTATGTAATTGTGATATAATACACGAAATGTTATAAATTATCTTGTTATCTAATAATTTTAAATGAATCGATTTGTTGTTTTAGGTTTATTAACTAAATCTGCACAATCTCAAAAATCAGATAGCTCTGCAAGTTCAAAAAGCTGTTCTGCAGGATCAGGTTCTTCAGCTTCCACAGATAGTAGCACAGATTCTGAATCATCAGAAAGTGTTACAAGTCCACAACCGCAAATAAAGAAAAAAGATACTCAACCAAGTACAACAATAAGTGCCACTACAAATGTTCCACCAAAGCGTCCTTCTGCAGCAGTTGCACCTGTAAAACCACAAAAGTGTACAAAAAGACAAAGTAAGTAACAATTGGTACTTTTAATTAAATGAATTTAATAACGGATTTAAAAAAAATTATTGTGATTATCAGATACAATAAAAAGCGAAGATGAAGCCGACGCGTCCGCGAGTGAGAAAGAAATGGACGAACATGGTGAAACAGGCACATCGAAAACAACTACTAAAGGCAAACGAAAACTTCAGACTCGAAAAGGTAGCAAATTGCTTCAACTACAAGCAAAGGCAGCCAGCGATTCGGAATCCGATACAGGTATATATAAAATATATAGTAGGAATAATCATAGAATGCGAAATTTTATTATTAACCCTATATCTTCCTCTTATCTCTTTATGCATTATGTTTCCATTTAAAAAAATTGATATTTTCTTAAATTTTGTCTAACATGATATGTGTGTTATTAGTTATATATCCTTAATACGTAGTAGTATTTTATTTATTGTTTCCCTTTTTATTTCGTTTTTACAATTCGAACAATATTAGTTTAGAAATTAGACTAACCAACTGATTTCGTATTTTCTCCTTTCATAAGTTCAATTCCTCCTATCAATCTTTTATCGTAGCTAGTTTCAACGTATATTACACTTAGGTACATTATTACTATAGTACCACCGTTCTCTCGTAGTAAATATCTCTAGTGACATTTCGATTATTTGATCGGATAAAATCGAAATTATTAGCATGAATATCTTGAAAAGAGGCGGGTAGAGAATTTTCTGCAGGCGGTGGATTTAGGACTCTATGCTGCCTCCTTAACACAAAAAAGCAGTATTTGCGGTTCTGGATGGATGGATTGGACATATATATGGCCCGTAGGAATCCACTGGTCGATGGGACAAACATTTCGTATACAAAAAAGCATGTCCAAGGTGTCCTAAGATGCAGATACAGTCTTTTTGCTTACGGCGGCAGTATGGTTCTCAGGTACGGAAACGGTAGCGTGTAAACGTATCCTGCAAATTCCGCTGATCCGGTGTGATTTATCGAGAGTAGCTGAGAGCAAGAGGAGTACCAGCAAATCGCCCGTTAAACGTGCTGGACCTAGTACTGCAGCCAGACATTCATCCGCAGCCAACAGAATACCACAGAACAGTGGTACATCAAATGCTACTAGTGGAAGATCAGGACAAGGCAATTATGGCCGTACACGCGTAAACAAGGAAAGAGAATGTCCCCTAGCGCCAACATGCGATTCTCGGGGCCATCTCTCTGGAAAACTCGATTCGCATTTCACTTTAGAAGCTTGTCCTTTGTATCACAACACTACGCCACAAGCTTGCGCGTAAGTAGATATTTTTATTCCGATATAGCAAACATTATACATTTAAAACATATTTCTGTTGTATCTCTTCCAGAGAATTTTATAAAGAGAGGAAAAAACGCGAAGAAGAGAGGAAAAAAGCCATAGCATGCTTGGCGAAAAAATCTCCAAAAGGCTTGCACCAAACAACGGAACAGCGCAATTATCAATTAAAAGTGAGAGAAATGAGAAACAAATGGAAAGGAAACGCTGGCGATGGAAACGAAAGCGATAGTAGTTGTGAACTTCAGGGAAACGAGAAAGATCGTCAACCACGATTAACAAACTTAACGCCAGACTACGATTTAAAATTATTTATGGAAGCGCAAGCGATCGCTAGTGAAAAAATCGTAAGCTGAAAAATACTTTATTGTTGTAAATTACAAATCCCATTTTATATTTTATTATTTTATAATTTTTTTTTTTTCTGTAGGAAAAAGAATTGAAAGAATTAGATTATGACGGTGAAGGCAGAAATAGTGGTACGCGAGTTATTGAAATGGGAAAGTGGGAAATGGAGGTATGGTATCAAAGTCCATACCCGGAGGAATTTAGTCGTGCTCCAAAACTTTATTTATGCGAATACTGTTTACGGTATGCAAAAAGTCGTCAAGTTTTAAGAAGGCATCGAGAAAAATGTTTATGGAGACATCCTCCTGGACATGAAGTGTATAGGTTAGTACATAAATAAAACTAGAACAATTTATACATATATATATATATTATTTTTTCTAGAAATATTTTAAATCTTATTTTTTTTTTCTTTTCTTTTTTTTCCCCCCCTCAGAAAAGATAAAATAGGTGTTTGGGAAGTCGATGGGAAACGTTATAAACAATATTGTCAAAATCTCTGTTTATTGGCAAAATTCTTTTTGGATCATAAGACGTTGTATTATGATGTCGAGCCTTTCCTTTTTTATGTGATGACGATTGGCGATTCTGAAGGTTGTCACACGGTCGGATACTTCAGTAAGGTGAGTTTTTTAATCTACATACTTAAAAAAGAATAAAACGATATATAAATTATTCGAGTATAAATTTTTAATATTTACGGTAAATAAATCACAAGTAAATAATATCTTTCGACTCGATTAACGTTTGCGCAATTAAATTATAAAGTAGGTTAAAGAAAAACAAATGATTGCGAAATGTTGAACAAATATTTCTACAAATTATTTATCGCTTGAGATATTATTTTCCGGTGATGAATTTTACAAACGGAAAATTACTAAAACTACATTGAGACGCGAGACATTGCAGTACAGTGAAAGTGAACAATGTCAATGAACTGTGCATTTGTCGGTTGTATTCGACGCAGTTAAAAAATAAAATCAAGCTAGGCATAAAAGAAAAGTTCTTCGGGCGTTTCTTATTGGCACGGATCTCGTAGCGACAAGTTACCAACGGCGATATTAATGCGGAGCACGTGCTTGTACGTGCGCGACTGTGCGTGAACGATGATGTCCGTTGTACTTGTGTCGGTTAGCACTTGCGTAAATGGAGCCCACGTTTATGTGGTAGGCGTCTCTATCGTACGACCCTCGTGGATAATATTAAAATCATTTAGCCTATTAAAAAGTGACATTTCATCTTGCTTTTGTCGCTCTTTTTTTTTTCTTTCTTTTTTTTTTTTTTTCTTTTCCTATCAACGTTAAAATTATACAACACGTCACAGTCTCTTCGTCCCTTATATCCGTTATTAAACTCGATTTGTATCGTTATTGTATATAATTATTAATTGAGAAAAAAGAAAAATAGGCGTTGCTCGTTAAAGGGACGTAATCGAAAGCAGATAAGACGATGAGGATTATCGTAGAGATTTATATTCGAAAGGGAAAAAATTGCTTTTGTCTTTATTTTGTGGTTTACTAGGGCCATAATGGCATTCACGTAGCCTGTAGGGATTACACGAACGAGGGTGTGTATCGCGAAGAGGGTGTCTCGTATCCGTGACCCCTCTTTACCCGAGCACTCCTGGTCTGGT